GTATGAGCCCCTAATAAAATGATTTTTAAAAAAGAAAAGAAAATTGAAAAAAATATCTGAGCTTAGCTGGACAACTTGATAGAATTTTTTTTTTTACAATAATAACCAGTGACGTACTTGGCCACGCTATCCCCTTTCTAAGGTTCCTCTAGCCTACAGCATCTGACACCTGTTGGCTGCCTCCCCTGTTTGCGACTGCTCCCCATGACTCCCAAAACACTTCTATCCTGTGAATCTCACCCTCCTCCTTCAATCGTGATTTTTCTTTCGACCTCATTTTCCCCAAGATTGTATTGTGACTATTTTCACATCCACTGCGAAGCATAGCCATCCTCTGCATTTACCAGTCAGCATTTTACTGTATCGGTTTGATCTCACGCCCGCCTACCACCTAGCCAGCAATCATGCCCACATCCACCCATCTTATTTTTGATACATTTCAAAGTAAGTTGCACCTGCTCTTCTTCTATCACGTATCCTTCCATTCCTGGCCCCACAAACCGATGCCCCCACCTTACGATCCTGAAAGTGCCACCCAAGGCGCTGTCCTTGGCTTTCATCTCCCCTGCGCGCATCCGCCTTCAGCCTCACTGTCTTCCGCCCTGCTTCCCTCTCCAGCTGTCCTGCCACACGGCTTTCCATTGCTTACTCCCGTCCACGGCTGAGCTCACGGTCTTCTCCTGGACTCACACTGGATTCTTTCTGAGAACTCCCATTCTTTCCCTAATCCACACTCTTTCTGTCTTTCTCACTCTCTGGATTCCATAGCAACTTATTCTCCAAGGCCTGAGATGCTACCATGCCTTTGGAGCCCACGCCCTCATCCCCAAGAATATGGCCACTTTCTAAGGTCTGATTTTCACTTGGCAGGATGGTGTTGAAGTCCCTTCCCTGTCTCCCGTTGGATTCTGTCCAGTTCTCCTGAAACCTGCCACCGTCATCTTTAATCTACAGCATTGACAATGCCATTCCCTCACCAAGAGGCCTAATGTAAAGGAGTGATGGAGGCGAGCCTTTGAGTGGATGAGGTTTTCAAGGAATGAGAAGCTTCTGTAGTCAGGGCTCTAACCTGCCAACTCAGAGCTAGATAGGCGTTTGCTCTTTGGCCAACATCTGCACTAGTGTCCCGGAAATCCCAGCTTTCTGGTTGAGACTTGGACTGAGTCCTGGAATGTGACCTTTGAAGGAGAAGCAGCAACCCTCAAGCCTGACATGAGCAGCCGCCCACCCCTGCAAGGCCCACAGGCAGGCTCTCATTGCAGCTGCACAGTAGTGCCTCACGACAAGAGGGCGAGCTTCCCACCCCTTTCTTACAGCACAGACCCTTTGTATGACAGACATGGAGCCACTCTCTTAGGAGCACTTGCCGTAGTTTTGGTTGATTTGGGATTTTTCCCCCTTCTCGGTTTGAAGCTAATGAGCATGTGCTGTCTTTGTAAACGTTTTGCGATTTGTTGTTCACACAGCCTGGAAACTCCAAGTGCAGCAGTGTCTACGAGAACTGTTTGGAAGAAAGCAGGCCTCTAGGTAGGTACAATTGTTCTTCACCTGCCACCCTTGTTGTCCCCATTGACACGTATGGACATACATCCCCCTATGTGCTCCATAGACCAGTTCGTTCTAATTGGCGTACATGATCCTTGGAAAGCTCCTGGTCCACCCTTGCTCTTGAGTGCCCATCTCCCTTGTGGCTCTCTTTGATGGGCTCTTCCCCTCTTTTGACCTCCTGGAAGCTTCTTTTGCTGAAAAGGTGCTTTGTCTGCTTATATCTCAAAGGACTCCTAGTTTCGAGGTGATCAGACAGCAAATGAACATGAAAATAGATACCCATTAGATCTACTAGGATTAGGATAATATTCCTTTGGGTCCAGCCAAGGGAACAAAAGGCAATCTAAAACTTGAGAGTCCTCATTAGGGGCCCATCCATCACAGGCTTTCCAGAGCATTGCATGTGTCCGCAATGGCTGAGATTATTGATGCGGGACACAGGTTTTCCAGCCAGCCAGCCATAGCACAAATGTAGACTATCAACGCTCGTGGTAGAAATGTATTTTAATGAAAACAAGCCAGACTGCTGCATAGTCAAGCGTTGCCGGTCTAGAAGGCAACTGAGGAGCCTAGCTAATGCAGTGGAGGATAGAGCTGGATAGCCGAATTTAAGGACACAAATTAAATTAGTAAGGACTTGCCATCTAGACAAAGGAGCGCTGGAGGTAGAGTGATTACCCTTTGGACTGCTAACCGCAAGGCCATCGGTTCAAAACTACTAGTCGTTCCTTGGGAGAAAGCTGAGGCTTTCTACACCCATAAAGAGCTACAGTCTCAGGAACCCACAGGGGCAGTTCTGCTCCGTCCTCTAGGGTCGTTGTGAGTTGGAATCCACTGGATGGCAGTGAGTTTGGGCTTGGTTGTTGTTAGGTGTTTTTTGACATCTAGAAGGTGGTCAGTTGTAAGGATCATTCCTTATATGTTATGGAAGCATGCTGTTACATTAGCTGTAGCACTATCTTATATATAGTGAGGAATATGCAGGTGTCTACTGGAGCCCCAGTGGGAGAGTGGGTTATGCCTTAGGCTGCTGCGCACAATGGCCAACTCCTCCACAGGGCTTTCTCCTGAGGCATTCTGTTCCCGCAACACTACGCAGTCTCAGAAACCCCTAGGGAGC